ATGTAGCCAGCCCCTGGATCTCTATAGGGTTTATCTCCCATCTTCCATAGTGCATGTGTCTTACCAAGTCCTCCAATGAGCTAGCCCGTTCTTACTCATTTTGGTCCAATTAGCATGATGGCATGAACATAGTGGACTAGTATTATATTCTGAAGGATGTTCAAGTGGTCCAGATCTCTTCAGACTATATTATAACAAAGGACATGAGAGTTAGTAGAGCACTGAGGAAAAACCATAAATGCATACTGTTGTCTATTCTATGTGAATGTGAACTCTTCATGATATTCTATTCCAATATGGATAGGAAAACCACATTTTCCAAATCAATAGCTGAATAGCAGGTACCTAAGGCCATGTTAATCTGCGCGGGCAAAGATACCACATCTGGCATGGCCATTGCAATAGTCTTAATATTTGGTTGAATTTGCAATAATCTACTATCATCCATCAAGCTCTATCCACGTTTTGCAGAGGGTCAACTGGTGAATTAAATGAAGATATGATGGAGACCACATGACTAAATTCTCTAGGTCTCCAAAGGTGGCACTAATTTCTATCAACCCTCTCCCAAGTATATGTTTTCATTTACTATCTTGGCCAGGGAAGGGGAGGGCAGTTTCAGAAGTTTCCACGTGGCCTTCTCATCTACAAATAGTTCTGACTCCACAGGCCAAGAAACTATTAATACTATGGAGTTTGTACCAATTACCAACTATGTCTATTCCAATTATATATTCAGAGATCAGGAAAATAACCACTGAGTGGATGTGTGGACCCAGTGGACCCGCTGTGAACCAGACCTAGGCCAGCCAAGTTTCCATTTAATTAAAAAAATTTTTTTTTGTTTTTTTATAGAGATGGGGTCTCGCTATGCTGCCCAGGCTGGTCTCAAACTCCTGGCCTCAAGCAATCCTCTAACTTTGGCCTCCCAAAGTGCTGGTATTCCAGGTGTGAGCCACTGTGCCTGGCTCAGGATCTCATTTAATATCTGGCTTCCATATGCACCCATTCTAACCAGGGGGGTTTATGACACTTTAGGTCTCTGGATGTCAATATCAAGCTAGAACAGTGTCCATCTGTCCTCAAAATGTTTGGATATTCTTTTTTCCTTGGCTCACAGTTACCTGAATAAATGGAAGGACCAGAGGAATCATTAGCATGCATGTGTTATAAGGTCCTTCTTCCTGGCACCCAGCCTTTCCTTCAAACACTGTGCTCCAGATCAAAACTGACTTAGGACCTAAAGCTGGGCAAGAGATTGTGACTTTTTATTGAGGCAACTTCCTTCAGACTCCCAACCACCTTTGCTTTCTTTTGATTCTACAGATTGAGTGCAGATTGTTGGCTGCCTATTTCCCCCAGGGCACTGTGTTATATTGACTGTTCGTATTCTACCAACTATCTCTTAACCATCTGCCCACCAGAGACACAGTGTCCTACTAACCATCTTCAAAGCTCTGTGCAGGGCAGGACTCCCTGCTGGCATGCTGACTCTGCAGGCATTTGTATCCACCTGGCTTCTGAGAATTAAGTGCAGCCATCCTGCCTCTATTGTTTCAGAGCCATCATCATTTCTATCTGTGATTCTCATTCCATAACATCCTCTCCTACTCTGAGCCCTGGCCTGCAGTGGAGAGCCACTGCTGAACTTCTTAGTGATGCTGGTGCCCCTCTCACCAGTGTATTTACAGCTTTGGTAAGTGGTGTGTCCTTTCAGTCCTCCTGCAGAATATAATCTTCTGGAAGATTCCCTGGCCTTACACAATATATTTATTCTATCATTCCCACTTCTCTGAGTCTATAATCCCTTTTCCACCATCTGCTATGGCAACCGTGACATCTCACTTAATGTGGGCCATTGTTTTCTCCATTCTTTAAGGAGCCATCCTAGTAGTGAATTCACATCATCTCCTGGGGTCTTTGCCAGGGTGTTAAATCCTATAAACTGGGACAGCATTCTCAGATTGATTAATTCTCTCATATTCAATTTTATATTCCAGCCCTTCTGATCAAGCTCTTCAGAATTCAGTCCCATACTCACTCCCTCAGCAGTACAGGCTGCCTAGGTTAGGTCCTGAAACTCCTTGCCAGTATATTCCCTTTCCTTCTTCACTAGGCCAAGCACATCACCAGCTAGGTTGTGCTCTGGCTTAACCTATAGGCCTAGGGTCCAGGATGGAAGGTAGGAGCAGATTCCAAAGGAAACTTATATTGTCTTACAAGGAAAAGGACACTGTATGTTCAAACAAGGTGGAATGCTAGCCCTTAATAGGGAGGAGTGGGACATTTCTGAACGCTCAAGGGGCTCAGGAGAATCTGGGGACACAAGATTTTTAGGAACATCAGTACAGATGTCCCCATTCCCAGTGTCAGGGTCCCATTCCTTCCTAACAAGGGTCCTGAGCTTAGCATAGAAGACTTGTCTTGGTTGGAATTTTAACTTTCTTTGAAGCTTGCTCTCAAGTAAGTCCTGGGTCTGGTCCTTAGATTTCTCTACCCTCTACCTGAAAAAGATGAGAGTCTCTTTAGATGCTATGAATGAAGTCTTCTGCCTTTCAAATGTAGCTTTTAGTTGTAGATTAACTTAATTCAGCTTTTTATTATTCTTTTCTAGAGGTCGATCAAGCTTAGCAATAGCAACCCAATTTTCTGGCCTTCCTTATAGTTAATATTTCCCACATATTTCTCAAAGGTCTGATACATGGCACCAGTTAATGCACTCCCTTCTACCCATATGCCACCCCAGTTCACCACCAGTGACAGCTTTAACAATTCCTCTGCCACCTTGTTCCGGAGGCCTATCTACTCCACCTACCACCAATGACGAGATCCTCATTGCCAGCTGGGCAGCAGGTGATTCAGCTCCAAAATGTCATCACAGCATGTGTTTTCTTGAACCACTTCTTGTACCAACTGTTGCAGGTTGGCTTCCCAGGGAGCAGACTCAGAGACAGAGTTCAGCGTGAAGGGTTTTTATTAGGGAATCAACACCTGTGGAAGGGAAAAGAAGGAAGCAGGATTGGACAGAGGGAGAAGTTAAGCTGTTCCAGTTAGGGGCAAGAAGGCCATGTCCATCAGTCATTAGATGTGAAGTACCCCCAGGAAGGGAGTATGACCCTGGGGGAGGTGGCTCTCTTCAGTTGAGGAAATTCCTAAAGAGGGATGACAGCTGAAAACTATCTAATGGCAGCACTCCTAGCAACTGAAATAATAAGCTCTTTATTCTCAGGGGGATCAGCGCAGCAGATGGCAGAATCCACCCCAAGTGTGATAGCATGTTTTTTTGCAATGGAAAATTGGTGGCCATCACATGCTAGAATCATAAATAGTCTTATTTTTAAAGGAGTTAATAAGATTTAAATTTTCACACTTACAGCTTTATTTAAACAATACTTATTTAAAATTTTAAGTTATACCTTCCGAATATTTACAAATAAGTATGTGAACCTCCATTTGTATTTTTGCTCCAAGTCCCTCAAATACTATTGACAGGCCTGCCTAGCTTGAACCCAAACTTTTCCTTTTTGGTAAATTATGCAAGAAATCCTTGTTTATTATGTAAATATCATAAAAATATAGACGAGTAAAAAAAAAAGATAAAACCTCCCATCTGCGGAGTTGTAGCCTCTGTGGGGAAAAAACCAAAAGAAAAAAGAAAAAGAAAAGAAAAAAAAATCACCCATGAGCCCATAAAGAACTATTAACATTTTCAGAGTATGCACCAAAGTTTATATAGAGAGATAATTTAGATACATACTTTCTTTCTGTAAAAAGTATAGCATATGGTTTTGCCAGCTATTTTTCACACTTAAGATTATACACTGAATTTTCCCACGTAAATAAATGTAGGGCCGGGCGCCGTGGCTCACGCCTGTAATCCTAGCACTCTGGGAGGACAAGGTGGGTGGATCACTCAAGGTCAAAAGTTCAAAACCAGCCTGAGCAAAAGTGAGACCCCGTCTCTACTAAAAATAGAAAGAAATTAATTGGCCAACTAAAAATACATAGAAAAAATTAGCCGGGCGTGCTGGTGCATGCCTGTAGTCCCAGCTACTCGGGAGGCTGAGGCAGAAAGATCACTTGAGCCCAGGAGTTTGAGTTTGAGGTTGCTGTGAGCTAGGCTGATGCCATGGCTCTCTAGCCTGGGCAACAAAGTGAGACTCTGTTTCAAAAAATAAATAAATAAATAAATAAATAAATGTAGATGTCCATCAGTATTTTCAACAGCTGCAGAATACTTAAATGTATAGACATACCTTAATTTGTTAGCCAACTGCCTATTTTGTGATATTTGAGTCATTTACAATTTTTCACCCTTCAAAACAGTTTGAAGATGCACAGCTTTGTACAAGACAACTATTTGACTACTTCCTAAGGACAAATTTCTACAAGTGGAATTACCAGGTCAAGATGTACATCTTGAAGGCTTCTGAGCCAGTATCCCAATGGACCTTGTACCAATGTGCACTCCCACTTGCAGTTTGAGAGTGCCCCTCCCCACACACCCTTACCACCCTCATCAACACTATGGGGTGGGAGAGAGGGGGGTCTTCTCCCATGTGGACCCCAACAGCACTCTCGATTGTTCCATAAAGGCCCCACCTTAACCAACCTTATAAAAGAAATCTGATAGAAGCATGAAAACGTATTTTCTTCTACTATATTTTCTTGTTATTTCAAAGTAGTACTTATCTGATTCACTTACATAGACACTAGGATTAACCAAGAAAGAGGATGGTTTTCTATCAAATGTCCCCAGGTCCCTAAAATAAAATTGGCCCTCCCTGTATGTCCCCAGAATATATCCCAGCACTTATTGATTCAAAGGGTCTCTCACTTCCATTCTCTCCTTACCATTCCCACAGCCATCTCGTGCCTGGACTACTGTGGTCACTTCCTAACTGGTTTTCCAATTTCCAGTCACCACTCCTGTCCCCACCCCAGCTCAGACCCATCCTGCACACCAAATGACCAAACTCAAGGACAAGGACAATGACTTTTTTTTTCTGCTGCTTAAAAGACACAACTTTATTGATGACATAAAAATAAAGTCTTAAATGTATAAACATAAGTCCACACAAAGGACCAAAGATTACCTTACTTATGAAGAATCAGTTCAGTTTCTGCTCATGAAGCATACTAAAAATATCTCAATCCAGACAAGATAAAAATCAACACATGTATTTTCAGTACAAGTTTGAATTCATTTGGTGTTCGTAAAATGGTCCAGCTATAGACCATCATAGGTAACATCAGTTTCGAAGTCATAATGCAATTTACAATGTGCATTACTTCCGGGTACAAAACCAAAATATTACTCAAATTTGTTTGGGAACATACAGCCAATCAGAGTTTACTTATTAATAGCTCAACTTTCTCTTTCACCTCAGGGTCATTGCATTCTGCTGCTAAGGCTCGAAGTTTCTTGGCACATGCTTTAGGTCGTTGGAATAGGAAATAAAGGGAATTTTTACTGAACTGATCCTGGCAAAATGCTTTTGCTCTTCTTTTAAAATGGTAATTTATATTTTCAAATAGTGAAAGAGCATTAAGAATATTCTCTTTTGTCTCTTTCTTACTAAAAATGTTAATCAGTGATGTTGGTGCATTAGCAATGAGCAAGTCTTTTGTCATAGATGGATTTTTAGAGAAATTCAAAAGCATTCCCAAAACATGGTCTTTAGTTTCCCCACTTCCCAGAGTTAACAAACGAAGAAATTCTGAAATATAATTTGTAACCATATGCTGATATTCACTGGTAATAGTCAGGTGCCTTATCAATCTTAGTCCAGCCAGCTGAACATTTGAATTTAAGGGATAGGTGACAGTGTCTTCACATACTTGGCTTAAGTATGTTTTAACCTTCCTATGATTTTCAGCAGCCACTGAGATGTTATTCAGTGCATTTAAAGCCTTCTGCCTAACACTGGGGTGGGGATTACTGAGCAAGCTTTCAATAACTGAGATTCCACCCATGTTACGAACAATTTCGTGGGAATAAGGATAATCAGCACTGTTATATAGAGCATTATTGGCTATTTCGTGAACAGAAGGATTTTCGGTCATCTCAACCATGCAAATGAGTTTTTCAAGATCTTGTGGATCCAGATTAGCTTCGCGTTTGCAGCGGCAGGACCAGTGCCTTACTTGCTTTCTAACATCACCTTCAGCTAGGAAGCTGGCCGCAATTTGGTGTGGAAACTTTGTTTCCGACCAGATCATGGCTCCATCCAATAACCCCATTCCTGCCCCAGGGACCATGGATGGATATGTGCCTCTTGACTCAGCTGACATTTTGGCTTTAGCCTCAGGTGCAGATTTGTCCTCACTTCTGTTTTCATAATCAGAACAGAACCAAGAACTTATATCAACTCCATCAGCAGCCTCAAAGTTATCCTTGATGCTGGCGTTATCGCCAGCCCCAGACTCAAAATTGACATCTCTCTCACTCTTGGATCTGAACTCATTACTGTTCTCACTCTCAGCCCAAAACAAAGACCTTAAACTGATCTCCTCAATATCAGGGCTGGACTCTCTACTTAGCTCATCCTCATCCATATCCCAAGCCAAAGTCCAGGATGCTGCACCAGCTTCTTCCCTAGCCCCAAGTCTAAACCCTATAGTGGTTGCATCTCCACCCAAAGACCAAAACCCCCTCCTGGCCCCAGCCCCTGCCACAGCCCCTCCCTCGGCCCCTGCCACAGCCCCTCCCTCGGCCCCTGCCACGGCCCCTCCCTCGGCCCCTGCCACGGCCCCTCCCTCGGCCCCTCCCTCGGCCCCTGCCACGGCCCCTCCCTCGGCCCCTGCCACAGCCCAGGCCTCAGCCCCTTCCTCAACTTCGGCCTCAGCCGTGGCCTCAGCCCCTCTCTCAGCCCCTGCCTCAGCCCCTCTCTCAGCCCCTGCCTCAGCCCCTCTCTCAGCCCCTGCCTCAGCCCCGGCCTCAGCCCCTGCCTCAGCCCCGGCCTCAGCCCCTGCCTCAGCACCGGCCTCAGCCCCGGTCTCAGCACCGGCCTCAGCACCGGCCTCAGCCCCTGCCTCAGTCCCGGCCTCAGCCCCGGCCTCAGCCCCGGTCTCAGCACCGGCCTCAGCCCCGGTCTCAGCACCGGCCTCAGCCCCGGCCTCAGCCCGGGTCTCAGCACCGGCCTCAGCACCGGCCTCAGCACCGGCCTCAGCCCCTACACAGAAGCCCATAAAAGCTGCCTCCTGAGGTCTGACCCAGCAGCCAATAACCGCCTTGTTCTCAGCCTCAGAGCTAGAACTAACGCCAGCCTCTTCCCCAGCCCCTGATTTAGATTCAATGGCCTTTTCCTTAATATCAAGCCTGGGCAAAATAATAGCCTCTTCCCCTGTCCAACACCAAGTCCCTATACAGGCCTCAGCCCCAGGGCCAAACCAGAATCCTTCATTGGCCTCCACCTCAAAACTGACCTGGAACCTTCCACTGGCCTGGCCCTCAGGCTCTAGCCTAGACTCTCCACTGGCCTCATTCTCAGGCCTAGATACAACCCAGGGTTCTCCACTGCCCTGGTCCCCAGAGCCAGCCCAGGAGCCTCCTCCACAGGCTTGACCCTCAAATTCAGGTTTGGAACAGCCACCAGCCTGATCTCCAGGGCCAACCCAGGACATTCCACTGGCCTGATTCCCAGTGCCAGTCCAGGACCCACCACTGGACTGGTCTGCAGGCCCTGGCCTAGAACCTGCAATGAGCTGGCCACCAGCCACACCCCAGGAACATCCTCCACTGGACTGATCCTCAGGCCCTGGCCTGGACGCCCCAGAAGCTTGGTCTCCAGCACTAATCCAGAATCCTCCTCCAATGGTCTGACCCTCAAATCCAGATTTGGAACAGCCACCAACCTGATCCACAGCCCCAGCCCCAGCCCCAGCCCAGGACCCTCCACTGACCTGACTCCCAGTGCCAGCCCAGGATCCACCACTGGATTGGTCTGTGGACCCTGGCATAGACACTCCAACATCCTGGCCACCAGCCCCACCCCAAGACCCTCCTCCATGGGTCTGATTCCCAGTGTAAATACAGAACCATCCACTGGCCTGGTCCCCAGTGCCAGCCCAGGAAACTCCACTGGACTGCTCCCTGGGCCCCAGCCTAGATCCTCCACCAGTCTGGTCCCCAGCATTAGCCCAGGACCCTCCACCACTGGCTTGATCCTCAAATACAGGCTTTGCTCCACCACTAGCTGGATCCCCAGCCCCAGCCCCGGCCCCAGCCCAGGACCCTCCAGTGGCCTGGTCCACAGCCGCAACCAAGAACCCTCCATTGATTTGGTCCCCAGAGTTAGCCCAAGACCTTCCACTGGACTGATCCTCAGGCCCCAACTTGGACCCTCCACCAGCCTGTCCAACGGCTCCAACCCAAGATCCTCCTTCACTGGCCTGATTCTCAAATCTAGGCTTGGAACCACCACCAGACTGATCACCAGTCTCAGTCCAGGCTCCTCCCATGGCTGCATCCCCAGCCTCAGCCCAGGACCCACCACCAGACTGATCTACAGGCCCCAGCCTGGACCCTCCGCTAGCTTGGTCTGCAATGTTAGCCCAGGATCCACCACTGGACTGGTCCTCAGGCCCCACCCTGCACCCTCCACTGGCCTGACCCTCAAATTGAGGCTTGGACCCATTACCAGACTGATCACCAGTCCCAGCCCAAGACAATCCATTGGTCTGGTCCACAGCCCCAGTCCAGTATCCAACGGTATACATATTCCCAGCCGCAGCCCCAGCCCAAGATGCTCCACTGACCTGGTTCTCAGCCCCAGTCCAGGATCCTCCAATGGCCCCTGCCCCAGCCCAGGACACCCCACTAGCCTGGCCCCCAGGCCAGGACCCATCACTGGCCTGACCCCCAGCCCAGACCTCTCCAATGGCCTGATTCCCAGAGACAGCCCAAGCGCCTCCACAGGCCTGGTTCTCAGCCCCAGTCCAGGACACTCCAATAGCCCTGCCCTCAGCCACTGCCCAGGTGCTTCCACTGGCTTTGTCCCCCGCCCACGACCCCTCACTAGACTGACCCCCAACCCAGATCCCTCCACTGGCCTGGTTCCCAGCTCCAGCCCAGGACCCAATACTAACCTCATTCTCTGCTCTAGCCCCAGCCCAGGACTTAACACTGGCCTCATCACAAGCCACAGCCCAGGACCCAGCAACATCAGCCTTATCATTAGCCCCACTCCAGGAACCAATACCGGCTACATTCTCATCATCAGCCCAGGACACGCTATTCTCCCAGTCTCCATCCATGGCCTGAAACCTAAATTTGATCCACCGCTCAGCAGCAATCCAATCCTCAACACCAATCCCATTCCAGTAGTAGTCATGGACGTTAGGCTGAGTCTTTCTACAGGCCTGAGCGCTTGACCCAACCTCACTCTCAGAAGTGGGCACAGTCTCAGCATCTGGCTTTGCATAGACCACATGTTCTGCTGTGGCTTCTGCCTCAGAACTGGTCATAGCCTTGTCCCTTGCCCCAGGCAAGGTCTCACCCTGGGAACTGGCCACAACCTGGGACCGGGAAGAGTGCCTTTTACCTGCCCCAGACCCTGCTTTAGGCACAGCACTGAGATTGCCCCTGACCTTACTCCTGGCACCAAGCAAGTTCTCACTCTGAGAATTAGTCACAGCCTGGGGCTGGGCAGAGCTCATTGTATTTGCTCCAGCCTCTGCCTTAGACACAGCATTGAGACTGCCCCTGACCTTGTTCTTGGCACCAGGCAAGGCCTCACCCTGAGAAATGGCTACAACCTGGGGCTGAGCAGAGCCCATTGTACCTGTCCCAACTTCTGCCTTAGACATGGCATTGGAATTGCCCCTGACCTTATTCCTAGCACCAAGCAAAGCCTCATTCTGGGACTTGGCCATAGCCTGAGTCTGGGCAGAGCCCACTGCACTCATCCCAGTCTCTGCCTTAGACATAGCATTGGGATTGCCTTTGACCTTATTCTTGGCACCAAGCAAGGCCTCACCCTGGGAAGTGGCCACAGCCTGGGGCTGGGCAGAGCCCATTGTACCTGCCCCAGCCTCTGCCTTAGACACAGCATTTAGATCACCCTTGACCTTATTCTTAGCACCAAGCAAGGCCTCACTCTGGGAATTGGATACAGACTGGGGTTGGGCAGAGCCTGTTGTATCTGCCCCAGCCCCTACCTTAGGCACAGCATTGCGATTGCCCTTGACCTTATTCTTGGCACCAGGCAAGGCCTCACCCTGGGAATAGGCCACAGACTGGGGCTGGGCAGAGCCTGTTGTATCTGTCCCAGCCCCTGCCTTAGACACAGCATTGGAATTGCACTTGACCTTATTCTTGGTAGCAGGCAAGGCCTCACCTTGGGAACTGGCCATAACCTGGGGCTGGGCAAAGTCTGTCGTATCTGTCCCAGCCCCTGCCTTAGACACAGCGTTGGAATTGCATTTGACCTTATTCTTGGTACCAGGCAAGGCCTCACCCTGGGAACTGGCCACAACCTGGGCAGAGCCTGTTGTACCTGCCCCAGTCTCTGCTGTAGGCACAGCTTTGAGATTGCCTTTGACTCTATTCTTGCTACCAGGCAAGGCCTCACCCTGGGAACTGGTCACAACCTGGGGTGGACCACAGGCCTTCTGGTCTGCCTTAGCCCCTGCTCTAGAAACGGCATTAAGATCACCCTTACCATCAACCTTGCAATCAGGCGAGGCCTCAGCTTGGGTCTTGGCCCCAGCCTGAGGCTGTACACAGGTTTTCATGTCTGTCCCGATCCCTGCTTTACACTTGGCTTTGGCTTTACCCTTAGCCTTACCTTTAGTATTAGGTAAGGCTTCACCCTGGCTCTGAGCCATAACCTGAGGCTGTGCCCTTATGTCTGTCCCAGCCCCTTCCTTAGACATGGTATCGGCATTGCCCTTTGCCTTAATTTGGCCATCAGGCAAGCTATCAGCCTGGACATTGGCCACAGGCTGAGGATGTGTACAAGACAACATGTCTGTCCCAGCCTCTGCCTTAGCCATGATATTGGGATTGCCTCTGCTCTTATCCTTGGCATCAGGCAAGGCCTCAGCCTGGGAATTAACCCTCGAATTTGCCCTGGCCCCTGCTTTAGCCATGGCATTGGGATTGGATCTACCCTTAACCTTGGCATCAGGTATGGCCTCAGCCTGAGCACTGGCTACAGCTTGAGGATGAGCAGCAGCCCACGTGTCAGCTCCAGTCGTGGCCTTCAACATGACATTGGTATTTCCCCTGCCATCAACCTTGGCACTAGATATCACCTCAGCTTGTTTCTGAGGTTGTATACAAGCTCTCATATCTGCCCCTGCCCCCACCTCACACATGGCATTGACATTACCCCAGGCATCAACCCTTGCCCCAGGTGTGGCCTCAGCCTGGGACTTGGCAACAATTTGAGCAGAAGCCATCATGTCTGCCCCAGACATGGTTTTGCAATTCCCCTTGTCCTCAACCCCAGCACCAGGCATGTCATCACCCCGGATCTTGGTCACAGCCTGAGACTGTGCATAGGACTTCATGTCCACTCCAGCTACCTCCCTGGACATGCCATTGGAATTTCCCCTAGCATCAACTGTGGCACCAGGCCTGGCCTCAGACTGAGTCTTAGCCACACTCACAGTCTCTTCCAGAGCTCTTGCCTTGGTCTCAGCCACAATTCCAGTCTTGTTCATGGCCTCCATCTTGGCCACTTCCCTGGTCACTGCCAAGGTCTCACTCTGTGTCACCATTACTCTGTTAATCTCTTTTTCAGCCAATATACGAGCTTCAGCTTTGGTCTGGGTCATTGCTTCTTTCTTGGCCTCATCCTTGGCATCCACCGCCCAAGATTTTGCCTTAGTCTGAGTCAGCGCCTCTTTCTTGACTAATCTCCCAGCCTCACCATCAGTTTGGGTCACTGCTTCTTTCAGGGCCACTTCCCTGGCTTCGGCCTCGGTCTCGGCCTCATTCAGAGTCACTGCTTCTGTCATATCCAGTGTTCCAGACACAACTTTGGCCTCAGATTGGATTTTTGCCTCTTCCTCAGCCATTGCCTTGGCCCGAGAGTTGGCTTTGGGTCTAGCTCTAGCAGTGACCTTGGTGTCTACTTCAGCCCCAGGCCCACCTTCTGCTCCAGTCTTGGTCTTGGGTCTAGTCTCAATCTGTGATCCAGCCGTGGCTTCATTGATGGCCAAGGTCTGATTCTGTACTCCAACCACAGTCTCCATCTTGACTCTGGACCCATTTCTGGCAAGTCTCCTCACACTCTGGTCTCTTCCCTTGGTTACTTTGTAAATGTAATAGCAGGTACCAGCGCAGATCACCAGTCCTGCAGTCACCCAGCCCACTTCCTGAATGCGGCCCATGTAATCACCCCTGCTGAAGGCACGAACAAGGTACAGTAGGGCTCACTCGGGCTAAGGAAAGAGGGTGGTAGGTCTTGGCATACACCTGTAAGGGTGCTGGTCTTCAGCCACTCAAAGGCCACTACAGCTGCCACTGGAGGTGAACCTAGAAGTGGAAGAAGGAAATGGACTAAAATCTCTTTTCTAATTCTGTTGCATCATACACATACATACACAGAGGGACAGAGAAGGGTAGAATCGTGTGTTGGTGGGAGAAGAGGATGATTAGCAAACTTTCCATCCCTCTAATTTCATCTTCCCCAATGCCCAACAATTTTTCCCCTAGGTACTTCCATACACATTTCCATACATCACATGAACAGTGGGAAGGACAATAGGAGGGCTAACAAGGAATAGGAAAGAAAAGAAGCCTTAGATCTTGATTTTTACTGGATCTATACTGGTCAGCACTCCACAGGGCCCCACCCTCATACCAACCTGTAATGATCTGAAGAAGTTCTCTCCTCTCTCCTTCTCTGGCTTTGTGATAAATCCTAAAGTAGATATATAAACTCATGAGATCTTTGGACTTAGAGACAGACAGACAGATGGAGGAAAAGATGGTAGTGAAGAGTTTTGTTCTCCATGGGACATATTATTAGCAAACTACCTCTCTGACCACTTCAGTTCACCCCACTCCCCCAGGTACTGTCATACTCTTTCCCCTGTATCAGAATTAAGGTAAGGGTGTGGTGTAAGTGGATGGGAAGGTAGGAAAGGTGGCCGGGAAAGGAAGAGGAGCCTCCAGACTGGACACTGGCCTTTACTGGATGCATGCTGGTGTCCACTAACCCACCCTGGAGGTCTACCCAGGCAGTCCTCACCCTCTTACCAGTCTATACTGATCAGGGGCAATTTCTTCCTTGTTTCTTTGCTTCCAGTGATCTCAAGCCCTGCAGCAGACATGCAGGCAGATCTATGGACAAGTAAATAAACAGGAGGTAATGGAGACCGAGTCCTTGATAGAACAGACAAGCACCCTGATCTCTGACCCCAATGCCTGCCATGCCAGAGCTCAGGTTCAGTTTACTAATGTATCCCATCTCACAGTGCCCCCACCAAGTCTTCTCCTCCCAGTGGCACTCCATCCCACCTTACCCCAGTAGTCCTACCCTTTCCCTGCACTGAAATCAATAGGGGGCGTAGCAGCACTGAGGAAATCTTTCAGAGTGTAGGGGAGGCAGAAGTGCCCTTCATGGGAACCCCTCAAGTCTCAGCCACCTGCTATGCCCACCCTCTTTTGTTATCCCCAGGCACTGCCCCCCTTCACACCAACCTCCATGGTCAGACTGGTCAGGCCAGTCTCCTCCTCCTTCCCTTGCTTCCAGTGGTAAAAGGCCTAGGGGAAGACCTAGGAACAGACAGAGAAAAGGGGGAGGGTAAATGCTGAGGACTTGTAACATCCTAGCATTTAAACATGGGTCTCTGTACCAGCCTTTCTAGATTTAGAGACCCATTTCCCAGCAGGCAGAACCAGGGGCTTCCCCAGCACTGAAATGGGAAGGGTGGAAAAGGGAAGCAGGAAAAATAAAAGGCGAGAGATAGGCAAATTATTTTAAAACCACCTGTAGAGTTCTAGAACTTTCCCCCAAATTCCACCATTTCCTTTGCTAAAATGGTCAGATGGGTGGGGGGATCTGGAAAACTGGAGGATGGCGGGAAAGATGGGAGCCCCCAGATTCCATACTCTAGAGTCATAAGCCTACTGCCATCTGCTTCCCTTTAAACCCATCTATAAGAGTCTCCAGTAAAAGTGACAAGGGGTAGGGGAAGGCTGCTGCTTCCAGAAAAATCACTATTTTTCCCCACCAAAGACTAACTAAAAAAAAAAAATAGTAATATTCTCTGATACAACAACTTATATTTTCTCATTATCTGAAGTGCAAACAAAAGCATCCGTAGAAAAGTTTGCTGTCATTATTGGTCTTCAACATACAATTTAAGTTAAAAGTCCTAAGCTTGGTAAGTAAACGCAGTTTAGGGAAAGTCCCCTAGTTAGCCCCACCCCACATCCCAATCAGATAGAGGCGCCTAAGTTCCTGCCATAGAATTCATATAGAACTCCCCCGGTTTGCAGTGCCCGTGCTCACACTAACCTCCATAGATCCAGTGCAGTTTTCTCTCCTTCTTCCTTTCTCTTCGCCACAAACACTGCCACACCAAACTACTATCCGACAGACAGGAAAGAGTAAAGCACTGAATGTTGGACCAGCACTCAGGCCAAAGATCCCAATACTCCCCTTTCCGGATTCAGGAACCTGGTTGTCAGACGTGCTCCCCACAATCTGAGACACCATCCCTACTAACCCCGCTGTCCAGCAACTAAGGCCCACCATTTTCTCTGCAAACGCCACCGTGGCGCATCCCTTCCACTGAAATGAGCAGGAAGCGAGCGGACATGTGCGATCAGTGATTAGAGTTATCAAGGATGGGCATCTCAATCTCTGTGTTTCCCTCTGGAGGCACTCTCCCCACCAGTCGCCCTGTCAAAGCTCACGGTTCCCCTGCACAGATGTAGGCGGGGGCAGGGGGGTTCTGGAGAATCAGAGGCGAAGGTACCTCAAACTTGAGCCAGCATATACCCACCCCACGCCCGTACCCGCCCCCGGGGTCGCCAAGCCGATGCCTGCCGCCCTGGCCACTGCGCGGGCCCCGGGGCCCTTACCTGGTCCGCTTTCCCCGGGCCTGATGCCAGCCCGCCACCGAGCGCAGGGCAGCGGGGAGCTGGTAGCCAGACGCGAGTGACGACTGCACCGAAGGCTGCGTCGCTCTGCAGCTCCGGGTCACGTGAGGGCCGCGCGTCACCGCGGAGCTCGCCCTCCTCCCCACCACCCCCTCTGGCCGGCGGCCAGTCAACAGGACCCCCCCCACCTCCGCACGCGCAGACACCCCCTTCCTCACGTCTGTGCGCAGAGCCCCAGCGCACGCTGCCCTGTCACTCATCTCCGTCCCCTCCAATCTGAGGGCCGACAAGTGGCATCATCGCCTTGCAGTTGGAGTTTACCCATCTCTTGTTACCAAGGAGGGTCTGTTCCCCCCCACCCACTCCCAGGCCTTGGCTGTGGCCTTTTCTGCTGCTTCTTTCAGGAATCCTTTCTTCCCCTCCATAGGCCGTAAGACCAAAGATCCCCAACCAGCCCCTACACAACCTTCCCTCCCCAAGTACAGCGCCTGCACCAAACAGGCTGCAGAAGGAGGTGTTGGGAAGGAAAGCGGGGAATGCAAGTAGAGCCTTAACTTTCTTTTATATGTTCCTTTTTTTTTTCTTTTAACATTGCATTCTCTTTTTTTGTAATCGCAAAATGCAGTATAGCCATTTTCATTTCATTTGACATAAAAAAAATATTCAGGTTGTAAAAATAACAAAAGATTCATTCGTTTACATTATTTTGTGCCACACTAAAAAAATGTTTTCTAGTTACTGTCAATTATTTCCCAGCTTTCAAAACAGACTGGTCATTATTGACATTTTAAATACAAAATAGTCCCAAACAAAGTCAGCACGTTTTTCAATGTGATCTATAAATTAATCTTTTAAAGGCATTTAGTTTTCTAATCTTAACAATTTTACACAAGTGATTTATAACCTGTTGAAGTTCTGGCTGAACTTCCCGTCTTTTGTCAAGTGTCTGAGACCTTCATTAATGACTCCTGGTTAATTTAATGAAGACCCAGCTCCTGATGAACCCAGTGCCTTACAAACCAGTAACTTGTTTCCCCTTCAAGGAGCTTTATTTGTATTTTAAATAAGCAGGTAATCAAATCAGTCTCACCACACCCATAAAAGGACCAACTGCTATAGCGTGGATGAAAAGGAGGTTCAGGGGGTGGAATTTTCATTCAATCATGACACTGGTGAAATTTCCTTGGTGTCTGCCATTCATGTACCATATGTCACCCCAGTAATGGTAAGTGTTCAATGTTTTCCAGCGGAGATGGTGGTGAGGGTCTGTGGGTGACTGTGAATCACTGCATCACTCCTGATGTCTTTGTCATTTTCCCCCACAAATGCAAGGACAATGTACAAGGTTCCAAGAAGTTACCAGGAAAAAAGAGGCCTTCTCATTCCCTGCCTTCTGTGACAACTTCACTGCATCGCCTGTACAAGCCCCTCAGAATAATCCCAGAACTCAGGGACAAAGTATGCAGAAATTAATCCCCAGACATCCACCTGTCCCTGCTGGGGAGTCATACTCTAAATATAGACGCTCCAGGCAGCCTCTTTCTTAGAACACTGAAATATGACACCCTGGCAGGAGGCTGCCCTCCCCCCTGCCATGAGGGGCCCCTGTGTGCAAGAGGCCGTTTCAGGAGGTGAGCCAGGGAACCTGTAGCACCATGCAACCTTACTAATGGCTTTTTAGAACTCAATTGCCTGTGACAAACTCATTTTCACCACCAAAGGAAAAGATGGCTAAATTAATTACATGAAAATTTTAATCTTTGGCAAAGTTAAAAAAAAAAAACAAAAACCTTAAGCATTGGATGTCAAAGGGCTGTTAATGGAAAAGAAGCCAAACTCTGTAAAATAATTTTAAAGAGATTAATTCCGAGCCAAATTTGAGGCCACGACCCAGAGCCACACACAAGAAGCCTTGAGCAAGTGGACTCGCTGTGGCTGGGTTACAGTTTGGTTTTACACATTTCAGGGAGTCAGGGGTTACAGGTAAAGTCATAAATCAATACATGGAAGGCATGCATTGGTTTGGCCGGAAAAGGTGGGCCATCTTGAAGCGGGAGTGGGGTGGGGGTGGGGGACTTACAGGTTATAGGTGGGTGTAAAGATTCTTTGACTTGGTTAAAAACAGGAAACTTTGTCTAAAGGTTTGGAATGTTTTAAGATCTGGAGCTGTTAATCAGAGATAAGCCACCGGATATATATTTGTTGTGTAAATTAAGGACCTGCAGGTTTGTCTTGCATACCCTTAGGCCTGTTAATGGGTTACAAAGGATGTCCCCAAGAAGGGAGAGGGGCATAATGAGGCTAGTAAGACCTCCCTCCTCCTGGCTGG